TGTGTTTTAATTTGTTTTACTCAGTTGCTCTATAACACCTAGCAACCAAGTATGCTTTATCAAGTATATCTTTTGTTTTGTTAATAAAACCACTCTTTTTAAGATGGTGATTTGATTCTTGTGTCCTAGAAAGTAACAGGGGGTGTCCGTGTGTGTCTATCTACCTAAGACTAATAAAAGTTCTTCTCAGAGATTTTCTCTGTGTTTTAATTTGTTTTACTCAGTTGCTCTATAACACCTAGCAACCAAGTATGCTTTATCAAGTATATCTTTTGTTTTGTTAATAAAACCACTCTTTTTAAGATGGTGATTTGATTCTTGTGTCCTAGAAAGTAACAGGGGGTGTCCGTGTGTGTCTATCTACCTAAGACTAAGTGTGACGGACCAATCCCGGCCCGCATTCGGGGAGGAGCAGCTGGGGGGGGGTTTAAATCCTGGCCCAGAGCCAGAGCGAGGGGGAAGGAGCCAGGCAGGCGAGCCCTCCTGCCCTGACTACGGAGCAAGTTCCGGATGCCAGAGGAGGATGCCAAGAGACAGACACAGGCCACCGCTGGGGAGGTAAGGACCCCGCAGTCATGCTCAACGCCAGACCCGCGAGGGGGAGGCTAGGAAGCAGCCCGGGGCAGAGCCATTCTGGCTCCTGTGCGCTGACGCATTATGGGGTGGGACCCCGTCAGCCGGGTAAGGGCTAAAAGACCCATACCCTTAGGGCCCCGGGCTGGGACCTGGTGGAGAGGGAGGGCCCGGGTCCCCCTTGCCCCCCATTCTCCTCCCTCACTTCCTTGAGTGAACCACCCTGTATACATCCCGCACTAACTTGCAGACGGCAGGCTCGCTGGGCTGTAACCCCGACGTGAGAAGGGTTGCATGCTCGCGCCTGAACTAAAAGCCGTTACACCCCGAGGTAACCGACAGATGGTGGGCCCACTGGGCTGCAATCCCGACGTAAGAGGGTTACGAGCTTGCGCCCGAACTGGAAGCCGTCACACTGAGGCTACGTCTGAATTACAGAGTTTTTGCAGAAAAACTCACGGTGTGTCCACACCGAAAGCACGTTTTTGCGCAAGTAAACAGAAAGATCAGAGGGATTTTTGCACAACTGGTAATCCTCGTTCTAGGAGGAAGAACATCTTTTGGTGCAAAAAGGCATGTGTGGATGGGGAAAAGTGTTTTTTTGCACAAGAGGAGGGAAGAGGAAAAAACATAGATGCTCTGATGGCCATTCTGTCCATAGTAAGCATTGCTTACTTGCAAGAGAGCATCCAGACAGTCTGGACGCTCTCTTTTGTAAAGAGACGCTTTTTTTATGTACTTTTACAGTGTAGATATTCTCTTCCAACAAAAGCTTCTTGCACAAAAAGCCTGTAAAACATAGTCTAGACATAGCCTGAGTGGCCAACTACCAGAAATTGCAGCTTGTTTTTCTCTTTCCTTTTTTCATGCTCTCTTGGGGCAAAACAGCTTGGGGTGCACCCAGGGAAAGAACTCAGGTGTTCCCTCCTGTTTTTTTTTTCCAGGGTTAAATCACTTGATGGTGGCATCTTTTGTTTTTTTCTCATAGCCAGTGTGTCTGTGATTTTTAAGTTTTTGTCAGTAGAGCCTATAATGGCGAGGTATTTAACGTCTTTTGCAGGCCCCCATCTTCTGCTCTCAGAATGCCAGAGTGGGAAACAGGTGCAGATTCAAAATGAGTTAATTTAAAAAAAACCAAACCTCTCCTAATATGCAGAACCCTGCACAGATACAAAATTTGCATTCGCATCCACATCCATATCTGCAAAAACAAGAGGCGGATATCTGCATCCAGATCCGTGGATGCAATTACCTGCAAATATAAAGCAGTTACCCTAATCACATCCTTATCCACAAAAATGAGCCGCGGAATCAGATACCTGCAAATATAGAGCGGATACTCGCAGATTTGCACTGCTCTATGCATATGGACAAAATGGTGTATGATATTTAACCAGCTCTTTCTGAAATCCAGAGCACCCACCCTGCCCAGTAATTATGTACCATTTAGTAAATGACAGTCTTCAACAGCATAAGCCATTATAGATATCAAGAGAATAGTGCACAAATAAAAGAAGTAGTGCCTCGAGCTTGTAAATGCTACTTTTTAAACATGCTTTCACCATGTCTGGCAAACAAGGGGTAGTGCCAAAACACTGATTTAGTGTTTAAACAAACAGCTAGTTCCCTGTGAAAATGAAATCTTGGCAATACATTAAGAACATCTCCTAGCTTGGCCAGTTTTGTTGAGTCAGTGGTTAGAAAATCTTAGTGTCACCTGGGAGATTCAGTTTCCAAGCTAAGTTTGAGCCAACGGGATCTTGGCAGTGTTAGAAACTATAGCCTTGGCCTTATGTTGGATCAATTTAGAACAGCATGATAGTCTTAAGGGATATGGTCAGCCTCAACAGCTGGTACGTGGTGAGGCAGAGGGCAATTAAACAGATAAAATGACAACCCAGAAGGAAAAGCATCTCCAGCTCAGACTACTTATGATCTCAAAATACAGCTTTAGGATGCCAGTAGTTCTCCCCTCCCTTGAGAAGGTCTACACTGGGTAAATCAGAAACTGACACAACAGGACAAAAGCAGTTTTCAGACAAGGAGCTCAATAATTTCTGAATATCGCTTATTAAAGAAAAAAATAGATTTATTTTGTCAGCCACAGACAAAACTGATCAATAATGTATTGGTTTAGGGCCTTTTTCCATTCAGATTTTTAAACTCCTGTTAGGGCCAGTGGAAAATGGTTTAATTCCCAGAGATAAAATTTGTGAAGGTGATTCATTAATTTATACATAGTGCCATAAGCATGCATGGCACTGTACAGATGATATAGCCCAAAGAGTTTTCAGGTTAAATAGATCTTTTGGGTGTAATGCCTTAAGTAAATAATATACATCTGTATGTCTTGTCTTATATCAATTCCATACTATACAGTCATAGGTCCAGTGTTCAGATGAGTGAGTGCAAGACACATGATGTACAAATAAGTGCATCGCCTTTTCATGGAGAAATATTATTGTGCAGACAAATAAGTTGAAGAATCTCCCAGCCCACCCTACTCCCCTCCCAGCCGGTCCCTCCCATGATGAAGTGTATCCATGATGAAGTGTATCCGGTATTTTTTTTATGACTACCTGGTAACCCTAGAGTTACCAGCTGTCTGGTATTGAACAGCTCAGTATTTGCACCTTCCGTCCGGTAAAAAAAATTCAGAAAATATTTTCTGTTTTTCCTGAGGCCCGGCTTGGGCACTCGACAGATGGCCACTTGGGACATGCTGGGGGTGGAGGGAGCAGCCCGGGAATTAAAGGGGCTGCGACTGCACAACTTTTCCTGTGGCTTTTTTTTTGCTCAACAGAATTTGTTTTCCAATGTTTTTTTTACAGGGGGGTTGGTATTTTTTGTGAAACTCTCTGGCAACTCTAGCTCTGAGGGCCCCACCACGACTCAGGAATCCAGCCTGGAGCCTAGTCCCATAGTCCCCGCAAGTAGTGGCCGTGAGTTCTTTCCTGCTCTGTGGGCCGAGCCCAGCAATCACTTCCTCTTTGCCTGCTGCTGTCACTAGGGCCAAGCGTGAGACTGCCACACTTCAGCTCCTTTCCAGAGCCCAGAGCCCCTGCCCACTGCTGCTGGGTCCTAGAGCGACATTCGCCCATGCACTCAGGCTGTGTGCTGGGCTTATCAGTTCATCCTGTTGACTACATTAATTCCCCCATCCCTGGCTGCCTCTGTGGGGGGGAGCTGGTGCCTGTGAGGAGCTGGCTTTAACCAGGTTACCCACGAGCACCGGAGCCTCCTATCTCCACCCCCTGTGCTACTTTCTTGGATAGAGAAGCAGCAGTGAGCAAGGTGAGGGAATAGGCTGGGGACAATACACATGGAGAGCCGGCTCCACACATAGCAGCTTCACACACCCGCCTGTTCCTCCCCATCCCACAGAGGTAGAGGCAGGAGCCAGGGGGAGCTGACTTAAAAGCAGATTTCTCCCAACACCGGCTCCGTGGTGCTGCCTGTTCCTCCCACCCTCCCCCCCATTTCACTGAGGCAGCAACACAGCAGTGGCAGGGGGGGCTGGCCCCACCCCTAGGGACTATTGAATAGTCGTGTAACTGCTAAAATTGTATGTAGTTACTTGACTATTCAATTTTCCCAAAGCTAACATCCCTAATTTTTGAACCTTAGGGTATATTTTGAAATCAAGTGAAATTTATTTTACCCTGATCAGTTAAATAGCATAGAGTTTGAGGCACGAGAATTTTGCCTTCATTCTTAATAGGTTTGATTGAAGATTTCACTGTTCCTTTTAAAACAGAGGACTTCCATCTTTATTAGTGCATTAATTTAATTAAAATTTGTTTGGTGTGGTTTTGGGTGGCATATTTTCAAAGGCATAAGCAATGGTTAAACGCTTATCTCCCATTGACTCTTTATCTTTGAAAATGTCCTTTTTGTTTCTTAATTTTCATTACCTAAGCAGCTGGAAAAAAAATGAAGAAAACAAAATTCAAGCGACCAGAAAATAGGCCATTCTGTGTTCTCTCATGTGCAGAAGGTGTCTCTTGCTAGAAGCACAAGACAGTACTTTGCTCATACCCAGACCTGACGACAGCAATTCTAGGCCCGTGAACAGAATAGTCAATGGGCCCCCATACATGCACAAGCCATGCCCACGTGGATGCAGTCTGCCTGACAATTGGACGGTGCTGTGCCTGTGCTGCTGGTGCATAGGAAGCTGCTGGTTGCACTGACTGACACTCTCTTCTGGGTTTCCACATGCCCGCCTGGCTGCCTTTACTGCCACTGATAACATTCCCAGGACATGTCTAGGTGCCATGTTCCCTTTGTCCCATCTGTCAGCAGGCCTGCTCATTCTTTATTTTTCATGTTTTGTATACCTTTAGTGTCAGTGGAGATACAACAAGAAATATAAATCTGCAATCAACAGCAACAATAATGAAAGAGGTAGCTATAAAAAGACTTACGGAATAGCCTCGTCCTGAAAGCGATTGAGCAGAACTCTGTAGGAGGAAACAATATGCCATAGTAAGTAAAGGAAGATTATGGGTAATGTAATCTAAGAGAGAGACACTATGAGATTTCCCCCACCTCAATATATTTTGGGGGAAATTTTACAACTAAATCATTTCTTCGGTTATTTTCTGGCATTCCCCACACTGCTGTCCTAGTCACTTCGTAACAGAAAGAGCATTTCCAGGTGCTAGTTCAGAGGCTCTTTAATACATAAATTGTGATTACTCAACTACACAAATGTTACAAACTACACAAATGCCAGTGTGAACAGCGCTGTCAACATGTGAGCTTCTTTTGCCAACATAGCTAGTGCTGCTTGCAGGGGCTGGAGTAATTAGGCTATTATTAAACAGTTTACAATGGTGCTGTTACAGTGGGCTTACAATGGTGCTGCTACAGTGGTGCAGCTATACCCAGTAAACTCTATAATGTAGCCATATCCTAAGCCTGACTTCAAAGGATGTTTCTTCACTGCAATCAAAAATATGATTGCAGCAAGTCATATTTGCTCCAGCTACTGTGAATTATAACAACAGACATTTGGCAGCACAGGTTAGCCTCTGACTACAGAGGAGACATATTTCAAGGCATTTGGGATTGGTCTACAATAGAGACTTATAGCGGTATAAGAGGATGGGGTGGGTTCTGGCGTGGACTAGAGAATGGGGTGCTCACCTGAGGAGAGAAGGGCAGTGGGTTCAAGTCCCACCCAGGCAAGGAGCAGCAGGACAGCCAACCCCCAGAATCAGGTACAGATGACCATTTTGCGGAGCCCAGGGCAGCCCAATTTTGCAGGGCCCCCCTTTGCCCCGGCGCATGTGCGGTGGTGCCGCGGGGCTTCTTGAAGCGCGGGGCCCAGGAGGCTGCCCCTATCACCTTGCCCTATATCCGCCCCTGCCCAGAATGGCACCAGGAGAGCTTGTCCTATAGACATAATCCACCTCTGTGAAAAGTTATAGCTAATTACATAGAAGGGAGAGTCTCTCCCAATTGACATAGGAGCATATTCACTTAAACACCACAGCTGCACTGACGTAGCATTTTCAGAGTAGGCCTGCCCTTTAGAATCTTTAACTGGGACCAGGCAGATTGTCTCATGGACTTGCTTAAGACCGGACAGCCACTCTTCCCCTCCAGTGCAGCCACCCAGGAGAGAGTCAAGTGCCATTCAGATGATTAGCACAGTATCCACAGCTGTTCACATATGGCAGTATGAGTTTCTACTAGTGGTGCACATACAGACATATCTTGGTACAGATACAATTTATTCCACCAATGGATGGAAAAAATAAGAAGAAACACTACTCTGCTCCCATGGAGAAACCTGCACGGAGCTGTGAGCACGGGCGTGTATTTGGAGTGGTTCACCCCCATTCCCTACA